GTAAGAACGCATTCACAGAGACCAGCCCAAATTTAAAGATTCCAGCCAAGTCGATAATAATCGAATTGGGCATCGATTGTACACAACGTACAAGTGTGATGCTGTGATTGTACACGATAGCAGCGACGACGTTGATAATAAAACAAGATTGCAAAGGCGTACTCTTTGGAGTACACAAACATCCCAAAGAAGTTCTTTAGAGGTTCTCTGCACGCCGCATGGCGTAGGTGGAAGTCATCGTTGTTCTAACGCGTCGCGATGGTATTGTTGCGCCTTCGATAATTCTCGCACTAACATTATCCTAGTCCATTGTTGCGCAACAATGCTTTCCAACAGTGGCTTCGGTCATGACGGTTGCCTACATCCCTAGGAAGGACGCGACAGACAGACAGACGACCTGGATTAATGTTTTTTAGACTTTGTCTATCGTTTGATATTCTGAAAATACACAACGTTACGACAATCGGATGTGATCACCTACACTGTTGGGGCCATTAGAAAGGGCTAACCTCAGTCACTGGATATGGACGGGCCCATAAGTTATTATGTCATCAAATACTGTGATGTCTTAAAATATATTGCTTGCTTTTGTGTTGTAACAAAATTCATAACCCTGTCTTTGCAGTGACATCGTTAAATTTGCAAAGAAGGGAGTCCTGTCCTGAGTTATATTTTTTAGTCTGTTGAAATGATTCTGACATGAGCTTAATTAAATTGTAGTTCATATCTGTCTCATATAACTAAGCTCTGCTTCGCATGAATCTCAAATACAATCTTACATTTTTTCTCAGAAACGACTTATCTTACGAAACATTGGTAACTGGTGTAATATAAATATCATAAAATTTTAGAATTCTTCAGAAAAGTTTTTTTCTCTCAATATAATGGATATTTAACGAGATAACAAGGAAACATAATAATCTCCATCCAACTTTGGTCTTTGATGCTTGAAAGTTCTTCATGACAAGTTACTAGCCTGTCATTGATAGGGTTGCTATCATCAGGCCCGTGTACAGACTTACGGCATGTTATGATGTATATTTAAATAAACGGAACAGATCAGAACGTATATTCGACAGAGTCTTACAAGTTTTAACAGAATACGGAGAAACAAACTTCCCAGAGGATAAAAGACTTCAAACCACATGACTACGGAACAGAGACATTAAAGAGAGATTTTAGGTTCTTACGTCAGAGCGATCACCCTTTTCATACAGGCAGCAAGCTCCTCTGAAACGTCGGCAGACTTCTGCCAGACGACAGAGCGCAACATCCCAGAAGACATTAGACTTTTGATAATTTGCGGTCGGGGCGAGACAAGTGGCTGTCACTGCTAGATAAATATGTGGAAGAAACATGTTTTATGCCTGCTTGTGATAACTGCAGTGTGGTTATCTTTGTAACAGTAATTTGTATCTGTAATAAATGAACATCAAGGCCAATGATGTATGTACAGTAGCGCAGAATACACACTTGTTTTCAGAGAATTTAATTACTTTTCTGTTTTTTTAAACTGTTTTATTCCTGCACCATACTAAAGTAACCTGCAGGCATGTGTAGTCCTTACACTTAATTAATGTAAATAGTCTGTTTCCTGGAAATATGATTGGCTGCAGATGAATGTAGACCTGAGTACGTCACGGGCTTGACGAACACAGTCTGTACATACATCTGGAACATTCAGGCCAAAACACGTGTTGGAATGTCAAGTGTAGTTCTGTTGGTCCTGCGATTACAGTAGAAGTGTGTGTTTATTAAAAAGAAGAAATAAGCTTCTATATAAAATGAATAGAAGTAACTGAAAAATTTCTCATTATCCAGTCCAGAAACTGTAATAATATTTTAGTTGTAATTTCCTATATATAAAGATTAAAGTGTATAATATATAACAAAAAATTTACAACTTCTGAATGTAATGTAAAGTGAAGTCTTTTATTGCAGGCGAGGAATATAAATTGGAAGTTTCTTTGTGAAAGTAGGAGATTGGAAGGAATTACGTAACAAATAGGCTATATTTGTGCTTTATGTAGTTCACCAAAGATGTTAGCTGCACAGAAGACGTATTGCAAAACTCAAGAAATGTGTACAGAATTTTGGATGTAAATTTTCTTGGAGGATCACTCGAAAGACACGATACGAAAACCAGAGGAACTAAAATTTTGTGATAGAGAAAGGCCTATCCAGCTTCCTCTCCAATGGGTGCTGGAAACATTTCCTGGGGTAAAGCGCGGCCGGGGCGTGACGCTGACCACTCACCCCCATCTATTGCGGAGATCCAGAACGAGTATGAGCTATACCCCCTCTCCCCTAAGTAGCAACATTGTCATGTAGGGCATCTGTTACAATGCAGGGCCTGCTTAGTTGCGTCATTAGTTTGTTAGTAAACTACTAACACGGTCTTTTATTTATAACATCTACAATTTGTGGTTCAAGTACATAAGTAATGATAATATGTAAAGGCCATATCGCTTGAAAATGTTACCGTATTTTTTGATTCAACAACCCAGAAGACAGCCATCTTCAGACTCACCTCCGTCAAAACCTCATATTTCACATACTGTCATAGAATCTTACATGTTTGGTGCCAAATATAATTTTCAATGCACGTTTGCCTATTCAGACTTATCTTTTGTCTATTGAAAAACTGTAATAGTGCAGTAAAATGGGCCACAGCCACTTGTTCATTTTATGCTGAGTTCTTTCCCATTTGGTGCTGTCTAACCTGGCACGAGTCTGACACGTGGTTATTAAATAACCAGAGAAAAAAACATTACACAATTTGCTTTTGTAATCCACTGTGGAACGTGTGAATTAAGCTATCGGCCGTGTTAGTCAACAGCATTGAAAATGAGGACAGAAATTGTCCTCGAAACGTCGGCGATTGATAGCCAACTAACACGGCTGATAGCCCGAGGAGACTTTATTAAAGCTAGTACATGTTTGAAGAATGGCGTATATAGAATGCGTGATTACAGTTTGATTCTTAAGAATAGCATTTTATGTTTCGTTTGAATTGAATAGGGCCAACTTGCGGCCAACCGGCTACCACGTGTTAAATGTTACTTTTTATGACTGGTAAAACGGTCTGCCATCATTAAATAGGAACTTTAAAAATAAATTAGTCACACGTGAAAGTTGTCTCAGTCACACAGATCTGAAACAGCCGACTGGGTTTGAATGTGTAACTGTTTGGAGGAATTTGTAAACTCTTTACTGCGTTATCCTTCCCCATATCCTTTGTTTGTTCAAAATACTAGGACGTCTGAATCTAACTCTTTAGTACAGATTGAGGAGATGGACGTCTTCTGGGTCGTTTAGTCGTGTAGTCTGGTAGAATTTTGCAGATGTTTCATGGGTGATTACCACCCATAATCGGGGCGCAACATTCCAGGAGACAGTGATGTTCAAAACCAGAGACGTCGGTAGCCAACTGAGACTTTAATAGGGAGTATCTCGAATAAACGCTTTGATCATGGAGCAACACCCGTTTGCTTGGCGCGTCGCTTTTGAAACGTCGGTTGCGGTTTCACAGGCGTCCTGATGTCATGTGTCATCTTTCGCCTGACGTATCTTTATGCCCACCAGTTTCGTCGTTCGTCAGTAATCCTGTTTTTAAAGTTCACTGCTCGGCAACGTGAATAGCAATTCGTGTCGGAAGTGAAAAGTTGCGTCCGTCAGCACATTCGATTTCATGCTGGAAAAGTTTACGAAGGTGAATTTCAGTCTGGCTTTGAGTGACACTTTTACCAACTTAAAACTTTATGAACTATGCAGGAAATGTTGTCCCACCTGCTTGGTTCCCCAGCCATTTCTGATACATCGCAGATTAATGTTCATAATTATACACGCAATTTTATTTCGCTTCTGAACACTGACCGAAAATCAGTAGAGAAACATAAAATTACTGTAAATAAGATTTACTGTAAGTGTCCAGACACGTATAAATACATGCCTCGTTTACTGTGATTTCTCATCTCAGCAGACGAGTTTTCATTCTGACAAACTTCCTGTTCTATAAACATGACCACGTCTTTCAAAACTGACACTGATTAACGTTTCATTGTAAGCTCTTTTCTATCGCTTGTTCCAATTTAGCGTGTCTTTGAAATGCAAATTTTGTTGCTGACGTATCAGTGAAGCAAGTTCATCAACACGTGATAGAGATAAAGCCATTATCTTTTCCAGACTAACTTCATTTCCGGTCCGTCTTTTGACAGAGAGTGAACGATAATCTTGAATGTTCACCGCTCAAAAGGTTTAACGCATGTTAACTGTTACATTCTCCTTCATGGTCTTCTCCGATGCCCATAGGGCCTAAGCTCTTCTGCCAGTTACATTTGTTATCATTCATTGTTGAATAACCAGTCCAGTTGATAAGCAGTCTTTAAATTAAACAATAACCCACTACCGTGGACTGCAAATGGTTTTATGGTGACTACTACCCACATTACGTGTGACACTGGAACACATATACCGTTTTTCTGTCCAGTAAGCCATTTGATATTTGACCTATCATAAAGACGAGGTCACATTGTCATTTGTTTTCATTAAATTCATCCCATTCGCAAAATTAGTAGATCTCATTACTCTAAATATTTGCATGATTTGGTATCGACTGTGGCTCCTGTGAAAGCGAATAATACATTTTTGTTTTTGAAATGTGTTTGAACCAAATGCCGCATCAAGAGGAAGGTAATTAACGATATTAAATTACTTCGAAATGAGAACGCGAAGTTCAGATATAATATAAATATTAACGTTTGCCACGAATCACAACTGAACAAGCCGAATATTATAAATTAAAATAAATTCATTGTATATATCTATGTTTCATAACCGAAATTTAAAACGAAAATATGAGAGTATCTTATGAATTCTGATGAAGAATTAAAAGAGTATTAGGAATTCTTTTAGCATCCTGTAATATCAACGCCTTCAAAAAACATAAGAAAAATCAGTTACTATTGCGAAGCTAATGAACATGGTTTGGTTTGTTTCAGCACGCTACAGCGAGATCAGAATGTTGGCAGTGGTGAGTCTTATTTTCAGTTTTATATCTTTAAAGTTTATATATATATATATATATATATATGCATATATATATAACTTTAAATATATATATTAACTTTATATATATATATATATTCTGGGTTACCAGTCAACTTCTAGTGATGTTTAAGATATACACGTGATAACAAACAAACAAACAAACAAACAAAAGAAATTTTCACTAAATAACCCCTCTGAATTATCGAAAGATTTCGAAAAACCTAAATCAAAATTTTATTAGAAAATCCCTCTAGATCTAAGTGAGTTTTCATGTTCTCACGGTGGCGAGTATGAAGATGGCTGTTTTCTGGGTTGTTGCGCTGCGTAATGTATAAGTTTTGTCGACGTTTCAGAGGTGCTTGCCGCCCGCTTCATGAGAAATGTCAGTAGACTCATCACATTGATGGTGGAAGCAGCAAACACCTTTAAAACTTAGGTAAAGTTCTATCGGACTACAAGGCTTAAAAATCTAGAAGATATCCATCTTCATTTCCTTGGATCATTCAGAACAACTTTAACAGACTGTACACTGCTGGTAACTCTTGCCTAATTACTTACATAAAATAAGTGTAAAATGTTAACAGGAGAAGCGTTACCAGTTCGTGTTCTTAAAAAATCTTCATTATTATAAAGAGGTTAAGAATCTTTAGTGTATAAAATATGCAAAAACCTCATTGACGATGTCTGAAAATGTTTACTTATCATCGTCACCGTGTATTAGGAGAGATTAACTTATAACGCCTGCATTAACGGTAATGTATTAGTGATGTGGTGTGAATAGTGTTCACAATACCGGCTGACAGCCTTTTTGTCATCTTGTTGTGGCATAGTGTCATTTACTCCATCATGCCGGTGCTCACGCATAAAATTTCATAAGTAATATGCTTGGTGTTTAATCTGTGATCCGCACACGCATGTCTGTCACTTTTTATGTTTGTTTCCGTGATAAAGCTCTTTTACTGGAGATTTAGCCTTGTTTTGAAGTCGTGTGTATGTAGAATTGTCCTCTGCGTGTGGTGTGATTAAATGTTTTAAGAACAAACGTGATTCGCATTTTAAGATTCCGAAAGATATTTGTAATGTATTTTAATATAATTCACACTTATACAGTTGTTAATAGGGTTTGGGAAAAATTAATGAAACAGAAGAATCTGCCTTGCCTTGAAATGGAAGTTTAATACCATGACCAAATAATTAACGTTGATCGAAAATGCCCGGCCATCAGAAATAGTTGCAACCATACGAAACATTTTACTTGAACGTTTAATGTCTTAAAATGTAGGTCTAGAAATGGAGACAAAATAGCAGAGCCAAGCACGGAAACATCTAGCACAGTAATACGCATTAGATAATATGCAAATTTACACATGAATGCTAACCACTGTAACAGTACATTGGTATGACACGTGCTGGAAGGAAATCTTCAGTCCCTTTGATAAGACGTTCGTGCTACGAACATCCTTGAAAAGAGCATGACGTTGGGCTTATGAGACTGAAATATTCTCATAAAACGCGTGAAAGCAAACAATACTGTGGTCTGAGCTAATGAATGACTCCTCTTCGTTTATTAGAACCATAAATATATGACGCTCCAATAACAGGAGACCGTTTCGAAGAGCAAATGTTTCCGACACTTTGCTGATTGTAGATTCTTTCCAGATAATTAAGCCTGATAGTCGAGGACTTCAACGTCGTATTTAAAAATGAAAGATATAAGAATTATAAGAAAATACGGAAATATACAAAATGGGATTATGAAATTTCGGCTTTGTTAAACGCGAGGAAGTTATTTTTTGGAGGATTAAAGAAAGGCAACTGTGTGATGATTTGTTATAAATATTAGTAAACCAGACAGTACACAAGAAGTTATGTCACAAGATTCAGATTGTCTAAAAGCGCCTTATAACTGAGAAATCTGCTTAAGGTCCTGGGTTCCTCGTTCGGTTGTTTCGAGGATTTGATTCGATCCTTCAGTATTGGACATTGCCCTTTCATGCTTACACACGGAGTTTTTCTGGTCAGTGCATTGAAAAAAAGAGGTCCATGACAAAAGGAGTAAGAAGATGTCGGAAAGAAAAGAAGGAATATACAAATAGGAGATAACGAACGAGGAAAGGGGAAGATGGAACATAGAGGAAGGGTAAGAAATGAAATAAATTTTTTCTCTTTTATCTTCCCCACTACTGTATTTTTCAAAAATGCATTAATACGCAACACAATTTCTTCTCCATTCCTTATGTCTGAATGAGATTTATGTCGTTTTTTCCCATCGCATTCTATGCTATTCATTACTACAATATTTCCGGTTTTGTGGCTTCGTCATGGGCTGACCTTCTCAACAAGCAACTTCTTGGGTTGTGAATCTCTGGTTTGAAGGTGGGGGGGGGGGGACTTCTGTCCTTACAAAAGAAAGCTTTTAAAGGGGAAAACTGATGATTTATTTTAGCCTGGAGCTGATATTCTGTTCAAGACGTTTCACTGACCTGTTACACATACTCCACGCTTTTTATATTGTCTCCCTATGAATTTATTATGTCGAGGGGGGGGGGCAGATATCTTGAAGCATTTGAGTTTTCGGTGTAGAAAAGACGCCGCTATTTTGTGGTTCAGGTACTATTTTCTTCGTAGTTCTCTTGAACACTGAAAATATTCTTACCTTAGGCTGTGGTTGTCTGTCTCATTTCAATAGAAGTCAGTGGGGTTCTGACACTGGTGTTTTACAATCTGGATTACTGAGTTTTTGGAAATTTGTCCATTGTCTGGTATTCTAAAAACACACAACTTTTCGAAAACTTGGTCTGTTTTCGTTCTCAGAAGCAGAGAATAGGGGCATATATTGCTGGGGATGAACACAGATCCGATTTTCGAAAGGTTGTGTGTGTTTTTAGAATAACAGACATCGTACAAATTCCAAAAACTCAGTAATCCAATTCAAATACACACCCTCATGCCGTATTTCACATTCAAATATTATACTCCTTACCGGTCTCAATTAAGTATCCCTTGAGGACTTGAGGAACGAATTTCTTGAATATTATTGTTCATATTAATGCTGTTTTATTACTCCATCTCTGATAAGCATTGAAATAAATTCATTATTGTCTTCTGCCTGTTGTAACTACTATCTTTATTATTGCTATTATTATTTATTTAATTGGAATTTCTCTCTTGTTAGCTGATGTTAGGTGCGTTTTAGCGATATGTAACCTCTCAAGTTCAAAATTGAAACTGTAAATGAATGAGCAACAAATAATATTTACCGTCATGACTATCGTGTTATATAGTCTGCATGATTAATTTTCAGCGTGTCATGAAGGCGACCTTTTTGACTTTTTGGTGTTGTTTGTTCTAAGTGCTAAGTGGAGTAAGCCACGAAAAGTTGCAGACGTGTAACTGCGCAAATTAAATTTACATGTGTTTATTAAGTACAATGCAATGTACAGGGTCGTTTCGTGTTTGTAATGGATGTACAGGGACTAGTAAAGGTTACTATTGCCAGTAATTAGAAGACGGCAGGTGCCAGAAGAAATCGAATCCTCGAGTTGAGTTAACCTCGAAACGGTCGGCTACCAGTGACTGGGGTTCCCTCTTTCTGACGGAACCATCGATCCAGATTATAATTCACCATCTTCAGAACATTTTAGAATCGAGTCACTTGCCTGTACATTATGGAATAGGTTCACGTATGATGTTTGGTCTATGTAATGATGAACGGGTTTCCTCAGGTGTGCATTTATCCGTGATAATTTGTTTCTCCGTCTTTGGGATTAGGTTACTGTTATCCGGCAATCTATGACTAGATCTTCCAACTGGAAGTATGCATTGTCTTATCTTCCTTAAACGCTCAGAATACTGGTACATTGACCCGAAGATAATTATCATTTCAATACCTAAATTTATTTCGGTGCTTTTATTGAAGTTAAGGTCTATTTAACTGTCAGCGGAATGATCTGATATGGAGTGTTACAGCAGTGAGTGAGAATTTTGAATCCTTTGATTTGTTAAAGTGTTTTCTTTATGCTCACTCTGAAATCCTCTTAAACATATTGGTAGCTTATTAAAATACCTTCTTCATTGAGTATCATTTGAAAACGTCAGTTTGAATACAAATTTAGTTACAGTATTACCAATTGATGAATACATTTGAAAGGCGGTTATTGAAGGTTGTTTGGTAAACTGAAGCTGATGAAAATTTCACTTACAATGAAACGTAGTTAACTATTCTATATTATGCGTGTTGCAATGAATTAGTTTGTATTGAAGACTACATATATAATAATGCTGTATCAGTTGCATAAACTCGATTCATATTCATCATTCAATTTCATTAGTAGTTAAAATTACCTGCTTAGCAGTGACATTCACGTATCGAAAACACATAGGTCTTTATGACCTCAGTCAGGGTGATGAAACTTTATCTTTCTTTCAGCAACAGTATTTCTCCCATTGGACCCAGAATCCAAGAATTTGTTCAGTGAAAAACAGGTAACTTATTATTCGATGGTATTTAAAATATGATTTGTAAATTATATTCAAAATAAAATTTCGCCTACAAACTACAGCAAAAATGTAGAAACTAAGCGTGCTAACTTAAAAAACAAAAGAGAGTAATCTATGTTAGAGGTAGAAACTAAGCGTGCTAACTTAAAAATCAAAAGAGAGTAATCTGTGTTAGACTTCAATATAATATAATTATTGTAACAGCAACAAATAAAAGGATTTTTAAAAGTATTGGCATAGTACGCATTTCCCCTAACCACTGATTCCCACAAGACCTTGGTTTTAAAAATCACTATATTTTGCAGAATCGCAAATCCTCTATTGACGACGGCTTGTTGTTTAATAAACATTTACTTAATAAAATAAGCAAGATGGCGGACGTTTATGTAACAAGTGCCGTGGCTAATGGCGGCAGTTAATTCAGCTACTTCGAAGTCAAAATAAATAATGTAGGGGCTTCTTTGAACAGTCGGATCTTTAATC